AAATTTTACATCACCAAAAAAACATGACCCTGAGGTACTTGAACTTCTCTACCTGCTCCACTGCTTCTCCGTTTATTTGAGGAGGGCAACGGACAGGAGAATGAGAAATCACTACGCTATCAGTTTTAGATACGTTCACTCGCACGTGGCAATGTCGCACTTGACCCTGAACCTTTTCAGCGAGAGTTGTATATCAGTGTGAGAAGATGCCAATAAAAAAGGTCCTCTGTAAACAACAATCTTTTGGACTCGACACCCCTCATTACCTTGGCAACGCCTGACTAATCAATCCATGTAGAAGGAACAAGAGAGGGGACAGAACGCAGCCTTGGCAGAGACCAGCGCCAACGCTGAAAGGCTTCTACTCTACGTCATTTACTCTGACGCAGCACCTGCCATCAGCATATAGTGATTGGACGAACCGTAGCAACTGGCCATCGATCCTATATGCTCACAGACTATTACGTGGAATTCGGTCATGAGCTTTCTCTAGGTAAACAAGGCATATGTACACCGAATGAGCGAACTCCCACGATTTCTGAACAATCTGGTGTAGGTAATCAGTTTTGGCTTTCGCTACTGTTTTTGACGCTGCCTTGCGCTTCTACATACCGCATGCGAGTTGAAGGCACTTTGTATTCAAGCCATTTCTTTAATGCAGCCGTGATCTCTTTAAATGCCAGTTATACCTCTCGTGTTAATCAGGAACTTCGTTTCTGACCTACAGGCGGCAGGCCAACCCATTTGAATCAGCAACATTCGGCGGCAGCCCGGAGTACACCGCTCTTAAAGAACTACTACTGGAATGTCATCAGACGTCATCATCGGGATCTGTTCAAACCGTCGTGCCACGTTGTTTATAAATTTCCCTCTTGTTTGCTACTTAACTCTGTTTGCTTCATCTACCAGACTGTTGCATGGTCTCCGTCTTTCACAGCATAGCGTGCCGGCAACAAGGTGATGATCGGTTGACAGCTCTGGGCCCTTAAAGCGAACATCCAATACATTAGACAATGTGATTCCCAAATTAACCATCAACTTCTGTGCACAAGCTTCCTTGTACCAGGTATGCCGATGCCCGCTTCGATGTTCAAAGGTGGTCATAACAAACATAATTATCTTGTCATTGTTGAGACCGCTAGGGCCGTTATTTTTAATCAGGCCTCTACACATTTTAATGTTTGTTTTGACATGCTCGAAAATATATATAGCTACACATGCACAGAGCTACATTACAGCATGTGCCCTTTGCTGCCTCTCCTAGGCCAACTAATCAAAATTAAATTAATTCCAAAGAAGCGCTTTATCATATGTGATTCAAAGAGCAGCATATGAAGAAACTAGCAAATTAATGAACGCGGTGAAACTAAAAAGTGTATGCCTACCTCAAAGCCGAATACGATTTGAACAGAAGCGCCCTTGGAAAGCGTGACGAAATAGGCATGCGATACGTAGTACGAATCGATAGCACTCATTAATCCAACAAGAACTAAAATTGAATTTATCAATTATATCACGTGTTAACTAAATACCAATTGATAACAGAGTGTAGAATGATGCGTCCCAACCGGAAAATGCATCGGTTGCAATTCTTACGTAATGTTTCCATTCGCTATCTCTGAAAATAGTCATTCCACAGAAAAGTGAGGCGAAGCGAGCTGGCATTATTCCCTAATTCTTCATCCACTCTAACCAGGGAAATTTGCCGTTTTATTATTGACCCACGACGTAAATTACACTGAACTGAATTTAACTCCCTGCGACTGATGCTTCAGGAGTAAATAGTAAAACGAAAACAAAAGTTTAGTACCTGAACGAAATCACAACAAAAAAGGAGAAACATATGTCAAAATTAAATACTAAAAAAGAACAGTGAAATTAAAACAGACAAAACTGCGTCGAACTGCCATAGTTGACCTGCTACATGATAGCTACGTGATGTACAAAATAACCAGATTCTCTTTTATGCTCAAAATTATGAACAAAGTTAAATGAAGTTGAATTTCAACAAGTTTTGACGCTTCTACGTTATATACAGTAACATTCTGCCCGAAAAAAATTGTTATGGACATAATCCTTACAAATGGTCTGGCAGATAGCCAGCCATTTGGAATGAACTTCAAATGAGCTCATACGCGTAAACAGTTGGTTTTGTTAAATAATGTG